AGGTTTGTGACACAGGATTTCCCGTTCCTGAAACTGTGCTGGCTGTCACTGATAAGCTCATTACTTTCTAGGTGATCTACCACTCTTCTCCTGATAATCTTCTCCATGACTTTGCATACTATACATGTCAGTGATACTGGTTTGTAGTTTAATGCTTCGTGTGTCTCCTTTTTTAAAAACTGGGACATTAGATGTCTTCCATACCTCAGGTAGTTGCCCTATTTCGATAGATGTGATGAAGATTGTCGTTAGTGGTACACAAAGCGCTTCTGCCCCCTCTCTCAGAACCCATGGAGAAATGCCTTTGAGGTGTCTAGCATGCTTAGCAGCTTCTTCACTTCTTCCTCGGTTGTATGTACTGTGTCCAACACTTGGTGTACCCTACCCTCTATCTTTCTGGAGTTCTTTCTGTCTCCTCCGTGAACACTTCTTTGAATCTCATGTTGAGCTTCTCGCATACTTCATGGTTGTTTCTTGTGATCTCCCCTCCTTCCTTCCTCAACCTGATTACCTGGTCCTTGACTGTTTTCCTCATGATGTGGTTGTACAACAGCTTCGGGTCAGATTTGGCTTTCTCTGCTATGTCATTTTCATATTGCCGTTGGGCCTCCCTTCTTACCTGTGCATATTCATTTCTGGCTCTACAGCTGCTCTCCTTATTCTCCTGGGTCCTTTGCCTTCTATGCTTCTTCCATTCTCTAGCACACTTGGTTTTGGCCTCTCTACACCTTTGGGTGAACCAAGGGCTCATCCTGGGTTTTTCGTTATTTCTGTTACCCTTGGGTACAAACCTCTCCTCAGTTTCCTTGCATATTGTTGTCACATATTCCATCATCTCGTTTACTGACTTCCCTGGCAGTTCTCTGTCCCACTGAACCCCGTGCAGGAAATTCTTCATGCCTCTGTAGTCCCCTCTCTTGTAGTTTGGCTTCATTCATCCTGCCCTTCCTGCTTCTCTCTCCACTTTTAAGTCTATGTATTCGAAGCTCAGAACCACATGATCACTGGCCCTGAGGGGTCTTTCATATGTGATGTCCTCAATATCTGCACTACTCAAGGTGAATACTAGCTCCAGTCTTGCTGGTTCCTCCTCTCCTCTCTCTTAGTCGTGTCCATTACGTATTGGTACACGAAGTTTACCAGTACCACCTCCATCATCTTAGCCCTCCATGTTTCTGGGTCCCCATGTGCCACCAGGTTCTCCCAGTCGATTTTCTGGTGGCTGAAGTCACCCATAATCAGCAGCTTTGCCCTGCTCGCATGAGCCCTTCTGGCCACTTCAGCCAGTGTGTCAATCATCGTTCTATTACTCTCATCATACTCTTGCCTTGGCCTGCTGCTGTTCTGTGGTGGGTTATACATTACTTCAATTACCACCTTGGGACCTCCAGACTGAAGTGTTCCTATTATGTAATCTCTTGCTTCTCCTGTCTCCTCTCTCCAGCTCAACAAAATCCCATCGGTTTTTGATGAACAGTGCTACTCCACCCCCTCTGTTCCCTCTGTCTTTCCTCATGATTTGATATCCCACTGGAAAGATGGTATCTGCTGTCATTCCTGTGAGCTTGGTTTCTGTGAGAGCTATGATGTCTGGTGATGCCTCTGACTCTTTCATGCCACTTCTCCCACTTATTCATTACTCCATCAGGTTTGGTGTACCATACCTTCAGTTTCCTCTCCAACACTGTGTTCTGGGGATCTGTGAGGGTGGGGACCTGGCAGTGTGCTATGGGATTCTATAGTGCAATGTGGGGTGGGGGCTGTAAGTGTGGATTGTGGTTTGTATTGGGATAGCATGTTTGGTTCTGGGGTGGTTCTGTGTGTGCTTGCACTTGTTGCTCTGCCCTGCTCTGGTTGTCCTTTGCTGATTCTGTCCTTGTCTCTCTTCCTAGTCCCCTTTCACTTCTGTGTCCTGTCCCTCAGCTGATGTCGTTCTGTTCTTCTGTCTCGATCTAGGAACACCCTCTTGTATGCTGACGATTCCTTCAACCATGGTTTCTCTTGCAGGATCCTGTTTTGCACTGTTTCTGTCATGAAAATCAGTTTGACCGGCCGATTTCTCCCCTTCAAGTACCCCCCTATTCTTCGAAAATTTACTATCTCAATCATGCCTTTCCTGCTTATTTATTTGATGTTTTCAATCTCCTGTTTTTCTTCCTGCTGTCTTCCACTGAGTGTCCTCCCCTTGCTCTCCTGAAGTCCATGAATAAACACTGACTTCTCTCTCGCCTCCCATTGCCTTTCCCCTCTGTGTCTCTGGGTCCCGTTTGTAGATGACCAGTGTGTGTGTGTGTGTGTACTCACCTAGTTGTACTCACCTAGTTGAGGTTACAGGGGTCGAGTCCAAGCTCCTGGCCCCGCCTCTTCACTGGTCGCTACTAGGTCACTCTCCCTGAACCATGAGCTTTATCGTACCTCTGCTTAAAGCTCTGTATGGATCCTGACTCCACTACATCGCTTCCCAAACTATTACACTTCCTGACTACTCTGTGGCTGAAGAAATACTTCCTAACATCCCTGTGATTCATCTGTCTTCAACTTCCAACTGTGTCCCCTTGTTACTGTGTCCAGTCTCTGGAACATCCTGTCTTTGTCCACCTTGTCAATTCCTCTCAGTATTTTATAAGTCGTTATCATGTCCCCCCTATCTCTCCTGTCCTCCAGTGTCGTCAGGTTGATTTCCCTTAACCTCTCCTCATAGGACATACCTCTTAGCTCTGGGACTAGTCTTGTTGCAAACCTTTGCACTTTCTCTAGTTTCTTTACATGCTTGGCTAGGTGTGGGTTCCAAACTGGTGCCGCATACTCCAATATGGGCCTAACGTACACGGTGTACAGGGTCCTGAACGATTCCTTATTAAGATGTCGGAATGCTGTTCTGAGGTTTGCCAGGCGCCCATATGCTGCAGCAGTTATTTGGTTGATGTGCACTTCAGGAGATGTGCCTGGGTGTTATACTCACCCCAAGATCTTTTTCCTTGAGTGATGTTTGTAGTCTCTGACCCCTAGACTGTACTCCATCTGCGGTCTTCTTTGCCCTTCCCCAATCCTCATGACTTTGCACTTGGTGGGATTGAACTCCAGGAGCCAGTTGCTGGACCAGGTCTGCAGCCTGTCCAGATCCCTTTGTATTTCTGCCTGGTCTTCGATCGAATGAACTCTTCTCATCAACTTCACGTCATCTGCAAACAGTGACACCTCGGAGTTTATTCCTTCCGTCATGTCGTTCACAAATACCAGAAACAGCACTGGTCCTAGGATTGACCCCTGTGGGACCCTGCTGGTCACAGGTGCCCACTCTGACACCTCGCCTCGTACCATTACTCGCTGCTGTCTTCCTGACAAGTATTCCCTGATCCATTGCAGTGCCTTCCCTGTTATTCCTGCTTGGTCCTCCAGTTTTTGCACTAATCTCTTGTGTGGTACTGTGTCAAACGCCTTTTTGCAGTCTAAGAAAATGCAATCCACCCACCCTTCTCTCTCTTGTCTTACTGCTGTCACCATGTCATAGAACTCCAGTAGGTTTGTGACACAGGATTTCCCGTCTCTGAAACCATGTTGTCTGCTGGTGATGAGATCATTCCTTTCTAGATGTTCCACCATTCTTCTCCTGACAACTTTTTCCATGATTCTGCATGCTATACATGTCAGTGACACTGGTCTGTAGTTTAGTGCTTCATGTCTGTCTCCTTTTTAAAGATTGGTACCACATTTGCTGTCTTCCATGCCTCAGGCAATCTCCCTGTTTCGATAGATGTATTGAATATTGTTGTTAGGGGTACACACAGCGCCTCTGCTCCCTCTCTCAGGACCCATGGAGAGATGTTATCTGGCCCCATTGCCTTTGAGGTATCTAGCTCACTCAGAAGCTTCTTCACTTCTTCCTCGGTTGTGTGTACTGTGTCCATCACATGGTGTACCCCACCTCTCCGTCTTTCTGGAGCCCCTTCTGTCTCCTCTGTGAACACTTCTTTGAATCTCGTGTTGAGTTCCTCACATACTTCACTGTCATTTCTTGTTGTCTCTCCTCCTTCCTTCCTTAGCCTGATTACCTGGTCCTTGACGGTTGTTTTCTTCCTGATGTGGCTGTATAACAGCTTCGGGTCAGATTTGGCTTTTGCTGCTATGTCGTTTTCATATTGACGTTGGGCCTCCCTTCTTATCTGTGCATATTCGTTTCTGGCTCTACGACTGCTCTCCTTATTCTCCTGGGTCCTTTGCCTTCTATATTTCTTCCATTCCCTAGCACACTTGGTTTTTGCCTCCTTGTGTGTGTGTGTGTGTGTGTGTGTGTGTGTGGTGTGTGTGTGTGTGTGTGTGTTGTGTGTGTGTGTGTGTGTGTGTGTGTGAGTGAGAGAGAGAGAGAGAGAGAGAGAGAGAGAGAGAGAGAGGAGAGAGAGAGAGAGAGGGGGGGGCAGAGACGAACGTGTTGCCTACTAGGCCCCAAAGTGAAGGTAATAAAGTTATTATCCGTTGACGTTTCCAGGGACCCGAGGCCCTGCGGCCTGGTCACAGACCAGATCTAAATTGAAGAGGAAACATTTATATTACATAAATAAAACTATTTAAAAACACACAAGATGAGTATATACTGAGTATATGAAGAGGTTTGCTTACGGGCATAACAATCCTGCCAGACTGGAAGACATTTGTTAAGTCTCCGTCTCACAGGGATGTGAATGTCTGCCAATCTATTAACCTGACTAGATTCTCCGTCTGCCATGCTAATATCAATCTGGTGTCATTAATGAGACTCTTGGACGAGTACATTAATGAGGCTCTTGAACGAGTATATTAATGAGGCTCTTGAACGAGTACATTAATGAAGCTCTTGAACGAGTACATTAATGAGGCTCTTGAACGAGTACATTAATGAGGCTCTTGGACAAGTACATTAATGAGGCTCTTGGACGAGTACATTAATGAGGCTCTTCGATGAATATATTAACGAAACTCTTGAATGAGTAGAAGTGTGTGTAGAGTGGAGGATAGTGACTGACCTGATACAGACAAGAGTGTGCACGGACAGCATAAGGCCCAGACCCACGGTGAAGCCGTTGAAGTAGCAGAAGCTTGTCGAGAAGATCCAGTCTCCTTTGATGATGGTGATGAGAGCGATGGGCATGTCTAGCACTGCAACCAATATGTCTGCCACGGCAAGGTTAGCCAGTAGCAGGTTGGTCCTGGTGCGCATGCCCCTGTGTCTAACAATGGTAAGGATCACCATAACGTTGCCTACGAATGCCAGCACCATTGATACCACCAGGAAGAAGGAGAGTGGCACCACAACTGGCAAGCCATAATCATAAGCAGTGCTATTGGTACTGTTGTTGACAGTATGGTTCCAGCTCTCCTGTGGTGTCACATTCATCCTCGCTACCACAGCTGTTACTGAGGATGTGAGAGTGGGCGACGCGTTGGCGTTTTCATGGACGGCCACCACAATGTTCTGTCACTACGCGTCCACTAGTACACTCAGCTGTGGCACTACACGTCCACCAGTACACTCAGCTGTGGCACCACACTGATGCTGTTGCTGCCACCTATAACAACTGATGCCAGTAACATCACTTCATGTATGCTAGTCACTTCACTCGCATTCCCTCTCCCACCAGTCCTCATCCAGACTCTGTTAGCTTTTTAAAAACAAGTGTCATTCGGATGACTTCAAGGTGCAGCTGCAATTACGCTTTCATCACGCTCTGGAATGAAAAAAAAAAAAAGTTTGTTACAAATGTAGGTTTATGAGACATCGTTCAAGCTCAAGAGTTGAGGTCTGAATGAGATGTTAAAAACTAGAGAATCTGTCGTAAACAGAGGGGGAGGGAGGGAGGGAGAGGGAGGGAGAGGGAGGGAGAGGGAGGGAGAGGGAGGAAGAGGAAGGGAGAGGGAGAGGGAGGGAGAGGGAAGGAGAGTAGAGGGAGGGAGAGAGAGAGGGAGAGGGAGGGATGGAGGAAGGGGAGAGAGAGAGAGTGTGCCCACAGATTGCTCCAATTTCATCCTGTTCCCTATTTGTATGTCTCATAACAATAAAAGGATTTAAAAATGAGCCGATGTAGGTAACAGTTCTAAGTTTGTAAATAAAATCCGGAACCTTAACCTAACTTTTTGAGAGAGAGAGAGAGAGAGAGAGAGAGAGAGAGAGAGAGAGAGAGAGAGAGAGAGAGAGAGAGAGAGAGAGAGAGAGAGAGAGAGAGGACAGAGAGAGACAGAGAGACAGACAGACAGAGACAGACAGAGACAGAGACAGAGACAGAGACAGACAGACAGACAGAGACAGACAGAGACAGACAGAGACAGACAGAGACAGACAGAGACAGACAGACACACAGAAAGGAGGATGTCAGAAGGGTGAACACTAAGTGTCAATATCAACTGCATCAACCACAACAAAGATACCCACACACTGCACATATATTAGAGAAACAACCATAATACAAGAAGACCTTAAGTATGTTGAAAATGGTATGAAGTATCCACAAGTTGAAGATACCATACTCAACATAACTGAGACACTGCAGCACAACGGTATCTTGCTACAGAGTGCATCTTCCACTCTTCATCGCGTATCTAGTAGTTATGAATGAGAAGGGTTGGATTCCAGAGGGACCTGCCTTGTTTATACGAGCGAATCCCGTCCGCTACAACGTCTTCGAGATCTTCCACCTCACCCTCGACAGTATTTAAGACTCCGTTCTCATGCTTCAGCTTCATATCATTCTACACCATAGAGCTGAACTCTTCTCCAGGCTGAGGGACTGACCCCTTCAAATACTTTTTCTCCAAGGTTGATGGACTGATTACATCATCTTAATTTCACTACTACACCTGCTCCCTCTATTTGACTGAAAAAGCCTAGTGTGTAGGCGAAACGTTTCATCAATTAAGATACGCAACTGTTACACACGCGTCTTAATTTTCAAGACCTTAAGTACTGTCACATTGTCACAACATATCCAAAAATCTATCCAAGTATGAGAGTATAAACTACACAGCTTAGGAGTCAGCAAAGGAAACCACAGCGACGTCAGCGACAGAAATTGCAGTCAGCAGTGGCGGCGGCAAAGGAAGGGCAAGATAAGCCATGACTGCAGTATCAAAGGGCCTCGTGTGGCATCGTCTTCAGTGACCCTTTTTTTTTTTTTTGCTATTTCTCATTAGTGTGTATCATTTACTACCAACCTCTTGCATCTATTCCAGTGTTCTACCACTGTTTGGCAAGAAAATTCGCATTATATCATACTAATGCCGCAAATTATGTCAGCGCACAAAAAAATGACCTTAAGAGTCTACCTGTTGATGTTGCCGAGGAATCGTCTATAGTTTCGTTTCTTTTTATGAGCTTTAACGTAGTTATCACATCTCCTCTTCTATGAATCAAAAGAGAATCTTTAGTGTTTTCATCCTCTGTAAATTCGATGTTGTTTTCCAACTACGGGAGCTGTTCACGGACTGAAGGTATATCATTAGTGCGCCTCTGGTCATCAACGGTCACCACGCTACCGCGGCGCATCCCAGCTGCGGACTTGCACGTTATAGACAACTCGGTATTTCTTGATAAATTAGACATACTTGGGTATCTTTATTGTGGAAACGTTTCACCATACTGGCTTCATCGGTCCAATACAAAGAAGAGTAGTTGAAGATAAGGAGTTTGAGGTACACAGTCGCTTAGCCTGGAGTCGATTACATCAAATCCAAGCTGGATAATAGACGAAAATTGCGGTAAAATGCAACCCTTTAATGACCACATTTCGCTCACACAGTGGGCTTTATCAAGTCAACAGATGATGCACCTCACTCGTGGACCTGACGCACCACACACTGATGCACCTCACTCGTGGACCTGATATAATAAAAGTCAGTCGAGTGGTGGTACCTGACTCCATATAGACCCGACATTATATTAACTCAAAACTACGTCACAACAAGAGCAGCATTTCAGTTAAATTTTCTGATTTGTCAACACTACTTAAAATTCTCACAAATTCTGTTAATAGTGAATACGTCTTCCTTATAAAATCCTGCATAATATTAAGACTGCATTCATTTGTTTGGAGCTTTACGACTCGCTAGCCGTGAGTTCAATTCCCGCCCGTATCGTGGTTTCCTCAAGCCTGCCCTACATAAAGCTGGTCACATTGTATGCATGTCACCTGAGCAAAAAAAAAAAAAGTGATTTATTGAATATAAAATTTAGGTAAGAGTTGAAATCTTGCGTAGATGCTCCGAGTCTTTACAAACACTTATAAATAAATTATCTATTTTGCCGACTGTAATTTATGAATGCAACAAGTGATAGAAGAAAGTGTATAATGATAACACTGGAACAACAGATGCACGGGTGATGTCATGGGCAACTCGTGCAGTTTCCTGTGACGTGGAGGAGCGGGTGAGGAGCGAGTGAAAAGTGGGTGAAGGGAGGGTGAGGAGCGAGGCGAGAAGTGGGTGAAGGGAGGGTGAGGAGCAGGCGAGAAGTGGGTGAAGGGAGGGGGAGGAGCGGGCGAGAAGTGGGTTGAAGGGTGAGGAGAGGCGAGAAGGGGGTTTGAAGGGTGAGGAGCGGGCGAGAAGTGGGTGAAGGGTTGAGGAGCGGGCGAGAAGTGGGTGAAGGGTGAGGAGCGGGCGAGAAGTGGGTGAAGGGTGAGGAGCGGGCGAGAAGTGGGTGAAGGGTGAGGAGCGGGCGAGAAGTGGGGGGAAGGGAGGGTGAGGAGCGGGCGAGAAGTGGGTGAAGGGAGGGTGAGGGACGGGCGAGAAAGTGGGTGAAGGGAGGGTGAGGAGCGGGGGGAGAAGTGGGTGAAGGGAGGGTGAGGAGCGGGCGAGAAGTGGGTGAAGGGAGGGTGAAGGAGCGGGCAAAGAAGTGGGGGGAAGGGAGGGTGAGGAGCGGGCGAGAAGTGGGTGAAGGGAGGGTGAGGGCGGGCGAGAAGTGGGTGAAGGGAGGGTGAGGGAGCGGACGAGAAGTGGGTGAAGGGAGGGTGAGGAGCGGGCGAGAAGTGGGTGAAGGGAGGGTGAGGAGCGGGCGAGAAGTGGGTGAAGGGAGGGTGAGGAGGGGCGAGAAGTGGGTGAAGGGAGGGTGAGGAGCGGGCGAGAAGTGGGTGAAGGGAGGGTGAGGAGCGGGCGAGAAGTGGGTGAAGGGGGGTGAGGAGGCGGCGAGAAGTGGGTGAAGGGAGGGTGAGGAGCGGGCGAGAAGTGGGTTGAAGGGGGAGGGTGAGGAGCGGGCGAGAAGGGGGTGAAGGGAGGGTGAGGAGGGGGCGAGAAGTGGGTGAAGGGAGGGTGAGGAGCGGGCGAGAAGTGGGTGAAGGGGGGTGAGGAGCGGGCGAGAAGTGGGTGAAGGGGGAGGGGTGAGGAGGGGGGCGAGAAGTGGGTGAAGGGAGGGTGAGGAGCGGGCGAGAAGTGGTGAAGGGAGGGTGAGGAGGGGGACGAGAAGTGGGTGAAGGGAGGGTGAGGAGCGGGCGAGAAGTGGGTAAAGGGAGGGTGAGGAGCGGGCGAGAGTGGGGGAAGGGAGGGTGAGGAGCGGGCGAGAAGGGGGTGAAGGGAGGGTGAGGAGCGGGCGAGAAGTGGGTGAAGGGAGGGTGAGGAGGGGGCCCGAGAAGTGGGTGAAGGGGGGGGTGGGGAAAGCGGGCGAGAAGTGGGTGGAAGGGAGGGTGAGGAGCGGGCGAGAAGTGGGTGAAGGGAGGGTGAGGAGCGGGCGAGAAGTGGGTGAAGGGAGGGTGAGGAGCGGGCGAGAAGTGGGTGAAGGGAGGGTGAGGAGCGGGCGAAAGTGGGTGAAGGGAGGGTGAGGAGCGGGCGAAAGGGGGGTGAAGGGAGGGTGAGGGCGGGCGAGAAGTGGGGTGAAGGGGAGGGTGAGGAGCGGGCGAGAAGTGGGTGAAGGGAGGGTGAGGAGCGGGCGAGAAGTGGGTGAAGGGAGGGTGAGGAGCGGGCGAGAAGTGGGTGAAGGGAGGGTGAGGAGCGGACGAGCGCATAAGTCAACAGTGTCAGTTATTTTATTTTCGTATTGAAACTCTGGTGCACTGACAGTACGTAGCTACATTATTCTATAGGGTGTTTGGTAAGTCTGGAAGTATAGGGCATCCATGCATGTAACATCACTCTTAATAACAATCTCCGTGTACTTGTTGACTGGATACCTCGTCTGCAGTCATTAATAATGGTGAACATACTGACCACCTATGAATAAAAGCCTTCATTATTGCAATTTTTTCCTATAGTTCCAGACTTATGGAACACTACATATTTACATACTGGGAGCAAAATCTATCTTATTCCTTATCCTCATATCAGACATAAACAGAGATGTACACCACAGCACCGTATCATCCTTTGCGGATGATACTAGGATCTGCATGAGGCTGTCATCTGCTGAGGACGCGGTTAACCTCCAAGAAGATATAAACAAAGTTTTCCAGTGGGCAACGGTAAACAATATGATGTTCAATGAGGACAAATTCCAACTACTCCGTTATGGAAAACTGGAGGAGATAATAACTAGAACAGAGTATACTACTGACTCCGGCCATACAATAGAGCGGAAAAATAATGTAAGGGACCTGGGAGTAGTAATGTCTGAGGATCTCACTTTCAAGGATCACAACAGTGCCACGATCGCACGTGCAAAGAAAATGATAGGATGGATAATGAGAACTTTCAAAACGAGAGATGCCAAGCCCATGATGATCCTTTTCAAATCACTTGTTCTCTCTAGGCT